CCCCAAAACCCCAAAACCCCAAAACCCCAAAACCCCTACTTTCTTGTATATATTGGGTATTAATTAAGACTATGAAATGGATAATTGACTTTCAACTTTAGCATACTTTTCCATAAGTTCTCTTTGCTCAGCTGTTAAATTTTGAGGGATCTCAATCTTAAAGTTCACATAATGGTCTCCCTTTTGCCTGTGGTTTGGAGGTAGCTTGGAGATACCTCATCTAACTAATCTTTTTCTATCGTTATGTTGTGTTCCAGGATTAATTTTTAGTTTCATATCTCCAGTCAAAGTTTTTACTGTAGTCTCTCCTCCCAAAATAGCTTCTGAAACAGTTATATGTTTATCTGTGTGGATGTCAAACTTATCTCTTTTGAAATAAGGATGATCTTTTACTGTTATTTTAATCATTAGATCTCCTGCTGGCCCTTGAGGTCCCTTATTTCCCTTTCCACTCATTCTTAGGTTTACTCCTGTACTCACTCCTTTTGGAATTTTAATAGTTTCAGTGGATGAAGTTTGGACTACTCCTTGGCCTTGACAGTTCAAACATGGATTTTTAATGACTTTTCCTGCTCCTCCTCATGAGCCACAATGGGTTTGGAAAATCATTGAGCCCTGTCTGATTGTTTGAAACCCTGACCCACCACAAGTAGAGCAATTTGTTTCAGCTGTTCCTGGTTGAGCTCCTGTTCCATTACATCTTGAGCAATTATCAATCTTCTGGTACCTTACAGACTTATTAACCCCTTCTACAGCCTCCATGAAATCAATTGAGATATTGATGACTACATCTTGACCTTTAATAGGGCCTTGGCTTTTGCCTCTACCGCCCATACCAAATAAGTCTTCAAAATTGCCAAAAATATCCTCGAATCCTCCTCCAGGCATACCTCCTGGCATTCCTCCACCTGGCATGCCTCCTTGCCTACCATGTGCACCGCCTGTGAACTGCTCCCAGAAGCCGCCTGCATCGCCACCGAATCCTCCTGGGAAGCCGCCTCCGAAGGGACCTCCTGCTCCTGCTTGGTTTTGTTCGTCTCCGGTCATGCCAGTCTGGTCGTAAATCCTTCTCTTGTTCTCATCGCTGAGGGTTTCGTAAGCTTCATTAAATTCAGCGAATTTTTCTTGAGAGTTAGAAGCCTTGTTCACATCAGGATGAAGCTTCTTCGCGCCCTGGAAATACTTCTTCTTGATGTCAGCTTGCGAAGCATTCTTAGGGACACCCAAAATCTTGTAGTAATCTTTGGAATAGAGTGTGTTAGTGGGCCTGAAATTCATCTTCTGGTACTGTGTCAGTCTTAAAGCTGGAGAAACATGTTTAGGGGATCTCAGATCCCTGGAAACCCTCATGAATGGTCTCTTGTTGAACATGGTCAGCATCATGCTTGATCTTTTGAAGGTCGAAGCTTTCGCAAACATTGATTGGCACTTAAAGACTTTCATATTTTAAGTAATTTTATCTACCACTAATTCATTTTTCATGATTCATAGGGGTTTTGGGGTTTTGGGGTTTTGGGGTTTTGGGGTTTTGGGG